TTATTAACTATATATCAATAAAATCTCTAAATTTTAAGCTTTATTTTGATATATTTTTTATTAATTTTTATGTAATAGTTTTTGAGTAATGAATAAATAAAAAATTCCAAAAAGTTTTACAACACAGTGTACACTTTTAATTCAGTTATGTTTATAGTTTATAATTGTTTTAGTAATATATATAATTGTTTTAATATTTTAGTTGCTATTATTATAATACAAAATATTATTAACATGTTATATATATAGATCTTTTAATAGAAATAATCTGAATTTAGTTTTATAAATATAAAAATAGATGAAAACTAATAATTAATCAGAAAATTATAAAAAATTTAATATTAAATATTATTAACAGAAAATAAAAACTCTGAAAAAATAAAATATTATCTTTTAATAAGAATATACAGTTCTGGCGGAAAAAACAGAGACTAATGATTACATGTTTAAAAAATAATTACATATCAAATTTTATTAAGTGACGCGACTTTTTATTTATTTATTTATTTTTAAATAGTATAAGCTAATATATATAAGATCACCCTGGTGCAACAATACCCTCTTAATCAAATAACATTATAATGTCTTATAAGCTACCCTTTGCGAAATAATGCTCATTAATAAAAGGTTTATGGGAAAAAAAATTTGTAATGTAAAAACTTTGCAAAAAATTACCGGGTTTCCCCAAAGCACACTATTTAAATGGGTCGTCCAACTATCTAAAACAAAAGACTTGAGGCAAAAAAGTTGACCAGGTTGTCCAAGGGTCTTAGATAAAAAAAAACTTCATTTTCTTGGTCAGTTTACCAAATCACATCGTGATGCAACAAGTTTAGAAATTGCCAAAAAAATGAACGCAACCTACCCAGATCTTAATATAGCTACGCGAACAGTCTGAGAGAACCTGTGAAAGCTTGGTTATCGAGTTTGTGTACCTCAAACCACTCCATTTCTTACTGAAAATGCCATCATGACTCAAATCGCCTGAGCCGAGAAACATCAACATCAAAACTGGGAAAATATGATCTTTTCTGACGAAACTACTTTTCAGATATTTTATAATACAACCTTAGTCCGCTACAAAATTGGTGAAAAAAAACCAAGCCGTGGAGTCATTAAACACCCTTTCAAAATTCATGTGTAGAGTGCTTTTTGTTCGCGAGGATCGTAGGATTTCACATGTTCTCTGAAACTAGAAATCTTTTTAATCAAGCCAACTGAATTTTTGGGAGGTCGTGGGTCTTTTAACATGATAATGACCTGAAGTATACTGCTAAGGCCACGACCTCTCTTCTCGAAAATTGTTGCATGTATGTTCTTAATTGGCCATTGTATTTGCCGGATCTAAATCCGATAGAAAACTTGTAATCAATAATAAAACATAAGGTGAAAAAAAAGATAAATAGAATGGTCAATGAAAAAAAATCAGTCACACAAGATGACTTTAAAGTAATAATTAAAAGTGAGTAGAAATGCATCGATCGTAGCATATGCTTTAATTTAGCCACCAGTATGGAAAATCAAGTAAATTTAGTACTTGAAGAAAATGGTCAAAAAATTCAATATTAAAAATTTATAGACATAAAATACATATAATAAACTTCTTAAACTTTAAATTTTAAATG